ATATGTATGATAACATATTGTAAATTAGATTTAAAAATACATATATAGTGTCTCAATTTAAAAAGAAATAGTTTTTCCAAATTTCCATAAAAAAACATGTACAAATGTTGAACCAAAGACCTCCTTCTGTGCGGAATAGGCACAGCCTTCCTTGCGAGGGCAGAAGTATAGTCGAGGCAAAGGCACTTACAAGAACACACACGCTCACATGTAACCCTCCACGTGTGTGTGTGTGTGTGTGTGTGTGTATGAAGCGCGACAGTTTTTGCACGCTGACATTTTAAGTGCATCTTTGTGAAATATTTAAACAAAGAGGAATAATTACACACGGCATTACGAACGTAATGCGGCTCTGAGTGCATGAATAACTGTAACTCACACATTCAAGGCAACGACAACGACAACGAAAATAAATGTAAGTGAACGTGTGTGTGTGCGTGTGTGTGTGTGTGTGAGGGTTTAAGAGAGCATTGAGCAAGGGTCATGACCAAACAAAAGGCGAACGAAACGAAAAGGTTTAAGATAGTGCCACTCATCGTCATGCCTTCGGGGAATCTTGCCTGGATATAATGCAGATTCAAATTAAATTTCTGATTTCGAATACAGTTTAAACAGCGCAAAACGATGCCTGAACTCTGATTCTCTATTAATAGCAGAGAAATGCACTCCTCACCCCACGATTGAGATTGAGAAATGCCAACGAATTTCCTTTAGGCTGTACAAATTGGCCAGCATGTTTATTTCCAATTGCATTCCCCAAATGCCAAACGCAATTGCTTCTGCACAACTAATGCTCTTCGACGACTCCAACGACGAGGACGAGGACGAGTATCTTTCCCTCCCGCCTCCCGCCTCCCGCAGTGACAGTTGGTTACCCCTGGCAAAAGCCAGAGTTATGGCGAATGCAGTCGGACAGATACACAGATACAGCCAGCACACACACACATCCAGGGGAAATCAGTTTGAAAATTGAATTCGAATGCATTGCAAGAGGGGAGCGTGAGAGGAGGACATACCAGAACAGAACAGAAGAGAAGAGAAGAGAAGAAGAAGAGAATCTCCACAACAAACTCGGAACTCAACTGCTGGCCGAATCAGACGAGGACTCCATGTGACTTTGTGCTGCTTGGCCATCGACTAAAACAAATGGGCTCCACAACATCTTTTACTGTCAGCTGCAACTTGTCGCCCTGTCCATTTGTGCTGTGCCCCCCGGGTACCCCCTCCATTGGTTGCATCGTTCGATTGCCCCGTCTGACTCTTGGTATATAAATAAAATAAATATTTATATTGAAATGCAACGCAATCGAGCGCAACAGAATTGAATTTCAGAGCATCAGAGCTTTGCTTTTGGCTTTTTGTGCCTTTCGTTTTGCCTTTCAGCATTTGACTTGTCCGCAGATATAGATACAGATACTCCACTCTCTTGAACGATTCTCTGAGCCAGTAGTATATCGAATTGAATGTTGTGAACTTTGTTTGGCATTTAATTGCATTGCAAGTTGTGCGTCGCAATTGCAATTGATTTCAAATGATCTCCAAAGTGCAGGTAAAGCGGCAAAGCGATGGGATGGCCCCCAAAGCGTTGCACATGGCATCTCTCATTCGATTGAGTTCTCTTTTGGGGTAAAGGGCTGCGAATAAATAGTTTTGTAAATTGACAAACTTATGGGGGCGGGGTTCCATGTTCACGTATGTTCATGTTCTTGGGTATTGTTTATTTACAAGGAGTAGCAGAAATAGCAAAAACACTACGTTTCAAGAGCCGAAGAATTCAACATAATGTTCACTGAATGAGATCTCGAAAAACTGTCTTTGAAAAGCCATTGAAACGCACATTCGACGTGAAAAAGGAAGCGGAATTACATTTTGTATACATTTTTTATGAGTAGAGTGGGAGAAAGAGTAACAGAGTGAGAGAAAGACTGAAAAAGAGTGGGGGCATAATCTATTCGTTGCCTTTTTATATGTATTACATTACTCCACAAACAACGCAACAAATTATCATTTAGATAATACTTTTAGTGCCTTTCAGCAATTCCATTCGAGACCGACTCCGACTCTGTCGCTCTGTCAGACTTTCTTTCACTTACCTTACGCATAGGAACGCCTTTTGTATATGCTTCGACTTGAACGGGGGATACCCTTTCGCCCTATGGCATACAGAGAGTATCAGGCAAAAATCCCCCATTTAGAGGAGACTTTTTTCCAGGGAAACATGGCATTCTTTTCAGTATATCTCCCAACGTAAGCAGCAGAGTGGAGTGTTTGTGGCATGTGGCAACATAATACGCGGAATAACAAAAGCGGCAAAGTGTGCAAAAGCCGTCTGGGGGATAGATCCACGGAGTACCACTCGTACGAGGTGCTTGGCAATGCAAATCTTCCTAATGCTCGCTTTATGTCTTCGTTTTTGAGATGCATGCATCTCCTTTAGAGAGGGGATAGGGATATGTACGTTATTCCTTCATAGAAAAGGATGCTCCTCTCCATCAAATTGATTAGTGGAGAAAAGTGTTCAACAGTGGAGTCGGACTTGGTCGGAGCTGGTGCTACAGTTGCTGTCTAACTTTTTTTGAGTTTTTTTATACCGTAGCTAATTATTTGCATATTTCTTTTGCATCTCACAGCCTCATGAACGATGGAGACGTGCGCGAGGACAACTCCAGGAGTTTTGTCCTAATTTGAAAGGTTTTTCTTTTTCCTACTTACGCGTTCTCTCTCCAATCTCTCCCTCTCCCTCTGTGTGTGTGTGTGTGTGTGCGTCAAAGACAAATGCAGATGTCAGTCGAGTGTAGGGAACTTTTTCATTTTCCAGAAGCTGCCGTACCGGTCTTGGCTTTCGTTTCCCCAGTTGTCAATTTTACGTTGCGCAAATGTCAAACTTATCGAAGCTAAGCCACGTAGCAGCAGCTGCCCCTCTTACCTTGTGGCCCTGCCCCTCTACACGCCGCGGCGTGGCATGCCAATGTTGCACGTTTAAATTAACTTTAATGAACTCAGTTTAGTTGCAAATGAGTTACAGAACTAGAAGCAGACACACACACATACCCATCCCGGGAGTGCAACAAACGCTGCAAAAATGTGGCAAGCAGGGAACGGGCTCCTACCAGTGGAAGACCTACAATCTGCAACGTGGTCTCGAGCTATTTTTTTTTCAAATAAATTCTTTTACAAAATATAACAAACTGATGCTGGAAGCTGGGGCTAGGGGTAGCAATGTCTACATATTTTCCATGAAAGCCTTTATGGCCAAGTGGGTGATGCCAATGTTGCACACTTCGTACAGTCTCTCTGCATAGCTGAGGCGATCAAGCCCCTTTAGGTAGTACACACCATCGCTGCCCGCCGCATACAGCAAAGCTATCATCAAGTGGGTGCCCCAGGAACTGGCATAGTGGGGGCTGCACAGGAGACACAGCACATTACAAAATCCGATTGCCGGGCGCCACAAGATCACTTTCGGCATCTGCATGGAGAGGACCCCCAGTAAGCCCATGGATAGGCCGAACACCAGGGCGCGGCCGCTGCCCATCGTTGAGTGGTAGAACTGGGTGTTGATCAGCGTCATATGTCCGACCTCCATAAGGTTGCGCGTGACGCACAATTGGGGGTTGGCGCATTTCGCGGCCTTGCGCAGCGAGACGATCAGCCCCAGGGTGCCATGCGTGTAGGCCATAACGCACGACATATAGCCAACGGGCTGTACGAAAGGATCCAACTTGCAGCAACCATAGCCCCCAATACCACAGAGCACGCCATTGAGAAGACCGGACAGTAGTTTTCCACTCATCCTGTCAGCACTGGCACGTGTGGACTCCTATCGAAACTTTTAAGAAATCTGTAAGTAATTTTTTAGTTAAAATTTAACAAAATTTAAAAATTTCCTCAAGCTATTTACTTGTATACTGTATGAGAGTCCTATAAGGAATGACGATGATTTGTGTTTTGGGGAGAGACTTGAAAGATTGTGACAGATAAATCTTAAATTGTGTATGAAATAAAGAAAGCCCTGAATAAATACAGTATACATATTTCTGAGAAGATTTTTTAGGGATAATACTTTTGGAGATGGTACTAACAATCGGAATTCTATATTGTACTTGTGTGTAGTGTTGTGTCTTCATTTAAAAGATTTCGAATTTGAAGAATAAATACTCTTTTGTAGCATTCCTCCCCTATTCAAAGTTTAACGAATATTTAATTTAATTTAATTTAATGTCTTTGGATGATCTTATAATTTTATAATCCGAAAAAAGTGTATAGAAAAAGGAAAAGGGGGATTCGATAGCCAATGAGATTTTTCTTATAAAAATTTGTTTTACGAACGACATTTCCCATGGATTTTATATCATACTATGCCGTTCGTTTCCTATCCTATATATATATACGCTCTGGAAGGGAAAGGAGGGACTAATTTCTATTGTAACCGATGACTGAAGAGAGGCCAAGCCTCTCACTCCCTACTCTATCTTTGAGACTGTTTATTTTTGGACAGTTATGCTTATTTATGGCCCTCGCGGATTGAGGACTAAGCTGTTCTTTTGCCTTTAGGCCTTTAGGTTTGCAATTCTAAGCCACGCCAATTTATTCGATTGCTGTGTGCCGATTAGCTGAGTATCGAGATTAGGGCCCAAATCCGCGAGGAGTCGAAAGCCAATCCAATTTGGTGGCCGTTTGTGGCAGGCAGTGGTTCATTGAACCACACTCTTTTTTTTGGGCTTTTGGCCAACAAATAAGCCAAACAGAAATTGAAATAACACCAGAGATAACCGACAGTCAGGACGACAGGCCGACAGACAGGCAGGGCAGGGCAGCAGCTGCCAAAAAAGTGTGAAAACCGCAGCAGCAGCCAACTGACTAAATGACTAAATGACTCCTGCGACAGGCAGACAAACAGACAGACTAACGGACTAACGAACTCCAGTGTGTTCAGGTCTGGTCCGAACGGGTGTGTGCTGCGGTTTTGTGGCTACAAATGTGTGGCAATGTGTGTGGCAATTGATTTATTCAAATGAAATCACAGCAAGAAAAGCAAATGCTGGTAAATGCGGTCGGCATCAGGTAACTTATGGGCCGAAAAACCAAGACGAGCCTCGTTCGAATCATTGGAGGCCACTCCATCCGGCCAGAAGGCCGTTCCAGCCCCAGGCCCCCACCTGTGCATCGATCCAGCGACGAAATGCCGTCACACTGGTGTAGACGCCTGGGTAATCTGGATTGGCGCAGCCCAGGCCCCAGGACACAATACCGTAGAGTGTCGCACTGCCGTCCTCCTGGATGCCGACCAGCGGGCCGCCAGAGTCCCCCTGGCAGCTGTCGTGGCCGTCGCGGGCGGCGCAGAGCATTCCCTGGGTGATGGGCAGCACCTGGCGGTAGGCGAGCCGACACTGGCCGATGTCCACGTGGTCCACTTCCACGAAGCGCAGGACGGAGGCGACACCAGCACCAGTCTGTTGTTCTCCGGCTGCCTCCTCGCTCTGGAACCCCCAGCCGCTGACCAGCAGCCTTGTCCGAGATTTCGGATCCTGTGCGCTTGCCAGGGGCACCGCCTGCAGGTGTTCGGTGAAATTGAGCCTGGCATTGAGGATGAGCAGCGCAAGGTCGTTGTCATGGCTCTGGGGATTGTAGCCGCCGTGGGGAATGATCCGCTGCAAGCTGAGCAATTGGCCGCCACTCGCGTGCTCGCTGGAGCCCACACGCACACTGTAATCGAGGACGCTCCAGGGCTCCAGGTCTTCAAAGCAGTGGGCGGCCGTCAGCACAAAGTGATCCCCGATGACGGCGCCGCCGCAGATATGCTGGCCATTAAGCTGCACGGAGGCCTGGTAGGGAAACTCCCCAATGGTGGAAACCTCCATGCCGCCCACAATGCGCCCATCGGAGGCAGGAGTGGGCGCCACCTTCCCCACCTCAAGCGCCACAAGAAGCAACGACAGACCGAATGCAAATTCCAGCGAGCAGCGCATGTCTCTGACTGATTGTGGGTTACCTCTTGGCTCTGGTTTTAAGCAAAACTTATCGGCCATAAGTCAATAGACCCAGTATTTGTGCCGTCTTATCGGGGGCTATTTGCTTATCCACGAAAGTGCCAAGGTCTTCTTATCTGGCTTTGACCCAATAACCTTCAGGCAACGGCGCGAATTCGACTGTCCAATGGGTTCATGGAAGTGGAGTGTGTCTATATGCGGAAGTATAGCTGAATAAAGTCTGGTGATTCATAAGGTACGAGAGAACTGCTAACTAATCAACTTCTGCGATCATTCGGGCCCTGCCTTTCAGCTTTTTTCCTTCCTACGCGGACAGCCAATAGCTTTGAAATATATTTCTGTAAGAACATGAGCAAATATCAGCCGAGAGCAGTCGTATTCGTTTAGAATTTCTTTAGAGAACATATATTCATATTTTGAAGATTTTGCATAGATCAAAAGACCTTTTAGTTATACAGAAAACAGCTCCAGAAGGTTGCAGTACTCCCATCAGTGGTAGAATATACTGCACTCGTATATGATATACAAATACATTCTACTTTGAAGATATAGGGAATCTGAGGGAAAAGCATTTTCCATTTAGCTTATCAGAAAAGTGTTTAATTATCTAAATTGCAGCAGCACTTTCATTTCGAGTAATTCAACGAGATAGGGTCGTAGGTGGCAGAGGGTACATATTTTTGCCAGTCATAATTCGTATTAGCAACTTGCAGGACTCTCAACGCTCACAGTACATTTGGTTTCAATGAATATGAATATATCTGGGTGTTGCAGGAACATCTACATGATTTGCATAGAAAGGTAGAGGGAGAGAGGGAGTGTGTGTCTACTATTTCATTGTGAGATAAAACAACAGCAGCAAGAACTTATTAGTTTAGCCAAAAATGAATTGCATAAATAATTAAGGGAATAACAGTGTAAAGGGCAGGGCAGGGCACAGCTTGTGGCATGAAGATTGAGGCAGAGTGGCTGTTGCCAGAGACTACTGGCAAAAGATAAATTTTACAGATTTGAAATTACATCTGTGAAGTGAAGAGGAGTGGGAGCCATGGACTGGCATGCTGGGCAGGGACTAATTGTTACATTTCCCCCAGTCTGAGAGCAAACATTTCCGCAATCCCACACTTCGGAACCCAAAAAGATATTCGAGTACTCGTATGAAGATGTATTTCCATGCAGATATTCAGCTTGCATTTGAACAAAATTGAATTTTGTGCTGCTGAGCCAGAGACTGCCGCTCGCCATCTCCACTTCATCTCCAGGAGTATGCTAATTGGCCAAACAGCAAATTAATTAAACATGACAGGAGTTAATATATACTCCAATTCTGGTGCTCGTGTATTCATGAATTATGCAGAGCAGCAGGAGCTGTGGCAGTAGCAGGAAAAAACGCAGGGAACAGAGCAATCGCCATGCATCGCAGGGAAATGTATCCTGTTGCCACCACGATTTATGCTAAAGGATGATCAATATGCGTTGTCAATGGCCGGAGCATGTAAAATATGTGGAACACAACACCACCCACAGAGTGTGAGGGATTGACATGCGACAGCTGTCTATAATGAAATTCCAATGAAAGCGGGCGGCCACCAACACCCACAAGAGGAGCATGACAATGAGTCGAGTATTTTTCTCCTGCTCAAATATTTGAATGGAAAGAACGAGTTAGAGTATACTTGAGCACAATCATAAATTGAAGCCTCCACCTGCTGTCGAACTTTAGTCTTGAGGTGTGGATAAATCAGTTAAAATGTTCCCTTGATTTGATATCCAAAATAAAAGAAGTTAATTCCATATTCTTTTCAGACGCTTGATGTATCTTTTGCACATAGGAAAAGCTTAGCTTTCCAATCCTTTCACAGATGCATTGGGTACACGCAATGTGAGTCGCATTTTGTGGATTTTTGGCATGTGTGTGCGACATTTGTGTGGCAGTTAATTGCGTGTAATTGGTAGACATCTTTCAGCGAAATACTTTCGTCACATAGCTCGTCCCCAAAAAAACATAAATCTCTCAAGTGGGTGCCACAAAAGGCGCTAAGAGGTGGGGCAAGGGTGGGTTAATTGCAGAGCAAAGAACATCAATTACCGAAAAAAAAAACAGAGCAAACAAAAAAGGAAGAGAGGCTGCCACAAAACACGGTCTGTCTCTTTTGCTGTCTTGCTTCTCGCTCCATAAATTATGCAGTCAATTTTTTTGACTTTATTATAAAATGCGTGTTTATTATGCCATAAAAGGGAACCAGAGAGATAGAGAGAAGGAGAAAGGGAGCGAGAGTGTGAGTGCGAATGGGAATGGGCGAGAGGAAAAGTGTTGAAAAGTGCGGTAAAGTGTCAGTATTAAGCGTGAAATTAATTACAAACGCTTACTTAAGTTAAATATTTGAGCGAAGCTTTGGCGTGCGACAGCTCGCGCAAAAAGCAAGCCAGGGCCCAAGAAGAAGTGCCCCCAAGAACTCAAGGGTACGATGTGGAGTTAGTTCTGGACAGGGCCCCCATCAGCTTCATTTTACATGCCTTCCCCACCCCCACCCCCACTCCCAACTGGCAGTAAGACGAGCCACTTTGTCAGGCCAAAAACACGGTGCCATGCCACTCCACTCGACTCGACTCCACTCTCCACTCTTCCACTCCCTCAGTCCCTGCCTCAAGTCAACTTCAGTTTACTTCGCTTCAAAAAATATACTGCAAAATTTATTTTTCCCTTCTTCCTGGCGTTTCTGGGGGTTCATTTTCCAGCGCTTCTTTTTTGTATATTGTTGCTGTTTTTGTTGGCCTTAAGCGCAAGTTGAACATTTCATTTGTCATGCTTTTTCCCCGGTTTTACCTGTGAAGAAGCTGAGTTTTTCCCTACACCCCCTAGACACGCATATGTTGCGGCGCCACAGTTTTTGAGTGATTGCTGCGACATCGCCAACGCCATCGCCCCCAAAGAAATGCTAAAAAATGTCTGCCCCAACGGTAAAGTGTTGCAAATAGCTTTTTTGCGTTTCTGAATAATTTATAAGATGTGTTTACCCATGAAACCCAATGACTAAGTACCGCTGGAAAGGTGGAACACGATAATTTACTTAGGTGTGGCAATGCCCCAAAACGAAAGGCGGCAGGAAGACTTTGAGAAATTAATGCCAAAGATTTGACTGGACATTGGACATTGAAGGAGTGCTACAGAAGGAAGAGTCCCCCGTTCCAGGGTTATGAAAGGTGGCAAGAACTTGCAGAAGATTATGTGCTAACGAGTGGCAGAAGAGACTGAGGTTACGGTGGTGGCAGGTTGTTGGAAAAGACTTTCAGAAGGTGCGGAAGCCACAACACGGGAGGCTCTAAAGGTTACACTGAGAGGTAAGCATATTCTGAGCTGTGAAAGGAGACTACTCTTCAAAATGTTTATGTCATAAAATCTGCCCGAAAGTTACATTTATATTGTCTACTGATTCTGAGAGAGACTCCTCTCCTTCTTTCTCTGGTTCTTTGGCCATTTGCTAATTGTGGCTCATTATCTCCTAAATGTTGGCAAATTTATGTGACGCACGCAGATGCGGCACCAACTGATTTGATTACCCATACGTGGGGCACAAACGGAGACTGCGGTAGAGGGTTGGAGCCGCACCTGAGGCAAAAAGACAGAGACAGAGTGAGTGAGTGAGAGAGAGAGAGAGTGAGAGAATAAAGCTCATAAAACATGTAAAATGCTTCATATACAAGAAAAAAGTCAAGCCACGCCCACACATGCCACACATTGCCTCCTGCCTCTGTTTTTTCCGGCTGGAAAAACCTCATTAAAAATTCGTAGAGCGTCCTATTAAATGTTCATGTTTTGCATAAAAATAATGTTTCGTGAACAAAAAAAAAAAACGAAACGAAAGTAAGGGACACTGCGGACCATTTTTGCAGAGGGGAAGTGAAGGGTCTGTAGGGGTGTCGCGTATGTGTGTTTCCTGCGGTCTGTGAATCCAATGATTTTGTGATGTTGGAGCATTTTAATTAACTTGAAATTTCAAATGAACTGTGAACTTTTTCATGTACATATGTATTAAATGTTGAAATGAAGCCAATTAATGGATGTATGTTGGACGCATGCCGGAAGGATTCTTTTCCAAAGAATCCCACAAAATATCTTTTTGTTGAGCTCATCCAAAACCTATATTTTGTCCGAACTGCAAACTGCAGTATAAATATTGATAAATCGAATCAACAAAAGCCACAAAAGTAGCCAAAAAGCGGAGCTCTTCTGTTGCTTCGGCTGCTGCTGCTTCCATCGTTCCATAAGCAGGAAATGCCATTGAAAATCACGTAAAACAGACAAAGATACATTAGTTAGGGGAGAGCACTGGGCTGGAAGGGGTGGATATCTGCTGTGGAAAGCATACAATTTCATTTCAATGCTTATCATATTTGTGTGCCATGGAATTCTTTTCGTTATGTTGCTGCTTCTGCTGCTGGACTCTCTCCCGTACGGTGTGTGTGGTGGCCAGAACGCATACAAATGCAAACCGGAAATGACATGAGGGATAAATCAGGAAATTGCTAAACATCAAATAAAGCTGATAGCCTGATATTTTCTATAGCGATACAGGATACGGGGGCTTGCCTTCGCTGCTGCTGCTTGCTTCGACGGCTTCGATTTCGATGTCAACAATTCAAAATCATTGCAATGATGACGAGGCAAACAGCTGTGGCGGCGGTTGAACCTCGAAAAATTCAATTTTGCAATATGACATCCGGCAGCACACACACACGTTCAGGAACCACACGTAGACGAAACGGAACGGGGCGTATACATAACGCCGCAACGCTCGAGTCCCCAGTGGCAGGGATCCGGCCCCAAACGATTGACGTGCTGCCATTGTTCGTTCATGCCACTATTCGTAGTACGAGTATTACTGGACTGGTAGCACGGCCACCAGCTACTGCTGCTGGCTAAGTTCTGCAGCAGAGCAAACAAAGTCCGAGAGCTGCTGGAGCAGCCATAGTCCGGC